TGTTTTATTTATTTATTTATTTATTTATTTATTTATTTATTTTTATTAGTGAAAGACCATGAGGTACAGTTGTAGACTTACAAATTTTTGTGCTTTGGGTTTCGATTATACAATGATCAAATACCCATCCCTCCACCAGTGCCCATTTTCCACCACCATGGATCCCAGTATCCCTCCCACCCCCATCCCCTCCTCCCACCCTTCCTCTGTGGCAGGGCATTTTCTTTTGTTCATTTTTCTAACAGCTGCATAGTTTTCTTTGTTGGTGGTGTCTTTGTTTGCTTTTGGTATTAGGGAGATATGTGCCACTTCGAAACTGTTTGGGAGAGTTCCTGTTTTTTCAACTTCCTGGAAAAGCTTGAGGAGAACTGGCAAAAGGTCTTCTTTAAGTCTTTAGAAGAATTTACTAGTGAATTCCTCTTGACCTGGGCTTTTGTTTTTGGGAAGACTTTTTATTACTGCTTCAGTTTCCTTGATATGAATGGGCCTATTCAGGTATCCCACATCTTCCTGATTCAATCTTGGGAAATTATAGGAATCCAGTAATTTATTCATTTCTTCTAGGTTCTCTTGTTTTGTGGCATACAGACTCTCAAAGTATTCTCTGATGATCTTTTGAATTTAATTGGTTTCTGTTGTGATGTCCCCTTTATCATTTCTGATTCGGTTTATTAGGGTTCACTCTCTCTTTCTTTTTGAGTCTTGCTAGTGGTTTATCAATCTTATTTATTTTCTCAAAGAACCAACTCTTGGTTTCATTGACCTTTTGGATTGTTCTTTTGGTCCATGCCATTAATTTCTGTTCTAAGTTTTATTATTTCTTTCCTTCGGCTGGGCTTGGGTTCCTTTTGTTTGTCTTTATCTAAGATCTTGAGCTGTGTGGTTAGGTTATCTATGTAGGCCTTTCTTTTTTCCTTAGGAATGCTTGCAACGCTATAAATTTTCCTCTTAGCATGGCTTTAGCTGTGTCCCATAGGTTCTGGTAGCTCGTGTCTTCATTCTCATTTGTTTCCAGGTATCTTTTGATTTCGTCTTTGACTTCCTTCCTGAACCACTCATTGTTCAACATTGAGTTGTTTAATTTCCAGGTGTTTGATTTGGTTCTCTGTGTCTGTGCGTGATTCACTTCTATTCTCAGTGCATCATGGTCTGAAAAGATTGTTGATACTATTTCTATCTTCCTGATTCTTTTGAGGTATGTTTTGTGGCCTAGGACATGGTCTGTTTTGGAAAGTATTCTGTGTGCACTGGAGAAGAATGTGTATTCTTTCTTTTTGGGGTGTAAAACCCTGTATAGGTCTATAAGCCCTTTCTCTTCTATTTCTTCTTTTGAAGCCAATATTTCCTTGCTGAGTTTTGGTTTTCTTGATCTATCCAGAGGTGATAAGGCGTTGTTAAAATCTCCAGCTACTATTGTGTTGCTAGCAATGTCCTCCTTAAAATCTTTTAGCAGTTGTTTTAAATATTTAGCTGGTTCCTCATTAGGTGCATATACATTTAAGAGTTTGATTTCTTCCTGTTTTACGTATCCCTTGATGAATAGAAAATGGCCTTCGCTGTCCTTTCTAATCATTTTCAACCTGAAATTGATGTTGTAGGATACTAGTATGACCACCCTAGCTTTTTTGAGGGAGCTATTTGCTTGTAGGATTGTTTTCCATTCTTTAACGTTGGTTGAGTCTGTATTTGCTCTGATTATTCAGATGAGTTTTGTAGACAGCAGAATGTTGGGTTCCGTCTCTGGATCCATTTTGTCACTCTGTGTCTCTTGATTGGTGCATTTAGACCATTGACACTGAGAGAGATTATTGTCATGGGGTTTTGTGCCATCTTTCTGTAGGGGTTGGTTGTGTTTATAAGTGTTTTCCTTCTTATCTTCCAGGAGCCCCTTTAATATTTAATTTAGATTTGGTTCGAGTCTATGAAGTTCCTGAGCTGTTTTTTTAATCTACAAAATGGTGTATAGTTCTACCGAGTTTGAGTGAGAGTTTAGCTGGATAAAGTATTCTAGGTGAGGCGTTCATTTCATTGAGTTTTTTTTACTATGTCCCACCATTGTCTTCGGGCTTGGAGGTTTTCTTCTGATAGGTCTGCTGTAAATTTAAGGGGTGATCCTTTGTATTTGATTTCCTTCTTTGACCTTGATGCTTTCTGTTATTGTGTCTCTGTCCACAGCATCCATCATTTTGACTATGATATGCGTTGGATTGTTTTTATTAGGGTCTCTTTAACTGGCACCCCTCTGGCCCCTTGGATATGGATGACTGCATTCTTTAACTCTGGGAACTTTTCAGCAATGATTTCTTTGACTGTGGCTTTTTCATTAAGGTTGCCTCCCTGTCCTTCTGATACTTCGATTATTCTGTTGTTCCTCTTGGTGTCATCCCCTAGGTCTCTTATTCTCCTTAGTGCTATTTTGAGGTCTTTTCCCATTGTTTGTTGTTCCCTATGCTATTTTTATTGCTCATATTCAAGCTTACTGATCCTGTTTTCAGCTGTATTCATCCTACTACTAAGGGCACCTACTGAGTTTTTAATAGCGTCTACCGAATCCTTTATTTGTGACACTTCTTTTTGTGGCTTTTTTACTTCTGCTCTCATTTCTTCCTGTATTTTCTCTACTATCTGTTATACTTTTTTTTTTATTTCTTCCTTTAGTTTTCTGGATACATCCTCCGTTGATTCTTTGAGTAGTTCCATGACCATCCTCTGCATTTAATCTCGGAATTCTTTATCAGAGAGAGAATATTTGCGGAAAATCCTGGTAGAGGATTCGGGACTCTTTTCTTTGTCCTCTCCTTGTAGTGGAGATTTGTGCTGTTTCTTCATGTTGTTTTGGTTGTCTAGTGGTAAAACCCTAGAATTCACTAGCACTGTTCCCTCTTATCATGGGAAAGGATTCTGGATAAGGTGGTTGATGGTGGTCAACCTTCTCCCTTTCTAGTATTTGACCTTCCTCTCAGGCACTATTCTTTGGTTTATGACAGGCATCTAGTGAAGCTTGGAGGAGGTGCTCTTTAATATTGGGCTTGTACAGCTTCTTGCTTACTGGTCTTTTGTTAGAATTGGAGTAGACCAGTGGATTATTGTTGTATTGTAGTTGAGGTGGCCAGGAATTTCCCCACAGGATTAGGTGATGAAGGCTGGGATGAAAGTCGAGAGTGCTGGGAGTAGGAAATGTCTCTGCCTTGGAGAAGACCACCCCCACTTTTTAGGAGGCCACGCCCTCTACAGTGGTGGCCACGACCCCAGCCAGTCCAGAAGGTATTTCACAGACCTGCTGGAGTGGCCACTAGTTGGGCTGGTGCTTGCTGTGGAAGTGGAGGCAGGTGCCCAGGCCAGGGTCCCTTTGGCGGCTGGCTTTCAGGGTCACGAGTTTTAAGTGGGGAGGGGGATCCAAGCGGGTACAGACCTGTTGAGGGGGGTGGTGACTAGTTGGGCTGGCATTCCATGTGGAAGTGGAGGCAGGTGCCCCAGTTCGGGGTCTCAGCTGTGGCTGGCTTTTAGGATCGTGTGTTTAGGTGCAGAGGGGGCACCAAGCGGGTACACACCTGTTGGGGGGGTGGCGACTAGTTGGGCTGGCGCTCGCTGCAGAAGTGGAGGCAGGTGCCACAGGCTGGGGACCTGGCAGTGGCTGGCTTTCAGGGTCGCCAATATTTAGTCCTTTGGAGAGACTTTTTGTTGTTCAGATGGATGATTGTCTTAGCTTTCAGTTGTTTCATTTTAATTTCTATTCTTTCAGTAATTTCTATTACATTGTTTGGTTAATCTACTTGGACAAACAGTTCTATTCAAAATAAATATTTGTATCCTATACCTAAAAAATATTTTTGGGCCAAAGAAATAATATGGGTTATCAAGCTTGCTTTTCGTGCATCCAATTCTTTTTTTTTTTATTTTTTATTTTATTTTTTTAAATTTTTATTAGTGAGACACCATGAGGTACAGTTGTAGACTTACAAATTTTGTGCTTGGGTTTCAATTATACAATGATCAAATACCCATCCCTCCACCAGTGCCCATTTCCCACCTCCAGGGATCCCAGTATCCCTCTCACCCCCCATCTGCCCACCCCACCCTGCCTCTGTGGCAGGGCATTTCCCTCTGTTCTCTCTCTCCTTTTGGGTGTTGTGGTTTGCAAAAGAGGCATTGAGTTCAATTCTTGTTTGATCTCTGGCACTGTATGTCGTCCCCCTAAGCACAGCATGGTGTGGCCCCAAAACAAAGAAAACATATTTATTTCGGGTTTTTATTACCTCCACTAGAAATGCATCTTTTGAGTAGCCTAAGGTGAAGTGAATATAGATAACACCAATATTAATACTAATCCACATTCCTCTGATAAGACTTCATAAACCTATTACAAGTCTGTCTCTTAAAATCCTCTCGTCCATTCCTTCAAACAATATTAATTTAAATTTGTACTTTACCATTCCTAGTCTGATTGACAAAAATGAGTAAATTTAACTAGTTTGGGAGACAGCTATCTAAGTACATAACTCATACAAATTGATAATTACTATAATAAAAATTTTATGTATAAATAAAGGTAATAAATTTTGTATGAGAAACCATAGCATAGATTTGAGAATTTTTTTTTCAGAAAACTGTGGGAACCTATTCAGTGTGCTACTTATTTGTCTAATTATGGTACCTATTGAGTGTTACCCTCCATTTCTTGGGTTTCAGTCCTTTCTGTCCATTTTATAAATGTAGTAACAAAATGAGATGATAAGTAAGGTTTCTATCTACTATGTTTACTGACCCAGGCATTTTATTGTTCCTTTCATAGATATCACATGATAGTCTTATCACCATCATCCTCCACCCCCAGTGACTCCAACATAGAGAACCCACTACTTATGATGCCATCTACTGTCTCTCAAACATTCACTGCTGAAAACTCAACTCTAACTGAAAGATCACTAACTTCAAGAGAGAAAGCAATTGGTCAGAAAACAGTACTCCTCAAGGAGTCATTATTGCCAAGGAATCTCATAATGCAGGAGTCGGGTTATCTGAAAGAGCCACTGACCTTGCTAGAGGAGGCTAGTGATGATGATGCTTTTGTTGAAAACCCAAGCATTATTGGGAAGAAGCATAGATTGGTTGAGGAGCCAGACATCAACACGGAGATAAATTCTGTAAATAAGTACACGGTTTCGGGGAAGCCACCCTGCCAGAATGAGGACTTCTTCTTGCAGGACTTAAATGCTAAAGAGGATTTGGTATCTACAAAGCTGAAGAACATTGAGAACTCAAAGACTGAGATGTCAAATCCTACCAAGAAGTCATTCATTTTACAAAAGAAATGTACCATTCAGAAACATGTGTCCTGCTTGGATAAACCACTGACAGTTAAGTCCATTTCTGAGAAAAAGTTGCTCATTGAATCAGTAACTTTGCAAAACAAGCCTACCACTGGGAAGTCATCCCCTTTCCAGGCATCAGCTGCATTGCAAGAGAAACACGCCACTGTCTTCCAGGCATCAGCTGCATTGCAAGAGAAGGTGACCATCTTGAAGAAGCCAGATAAGTTGCAGGAGAATATTGAAAAGGAAGGTCAATTTGTTAGGGAATCACTTTCCTTTAGAAAGCAATACAGCATAAATGCATTCTCCACCAAGGAAACATCTTTAACAGAGAAAGGCTATATCACTCAAACGATGATGATCACCCACCAAGTCTTGGACTTGAGAGATGTGAGTAACAAAGATAAAAATTCTCACTCTGTAGGGCCAGAGTCAGCTAGGAAGTCTTCAACCAAAGAAGCAACTGTTACCAAGGCATCACTATCTTTAAAGGAACAGCAAAGTACTCGGGATATTTTATCCTTAGAGAAGAAGACCTCTGAAGAGAAGTCACTCTGTAAAAAGGTGTTACACTATGAGGAAAAGCCTTCAGCCAAACAGGTGTTCCTCCCCCAGGATCCAGGTACTATAGAAGAAAATACCACTCTGCGTGCAGTGTCTCTCCCCAAGAATTCGCTGACCTTGCAGGAGAAGACCAACAGTGAGAAGGAATCAAGTATTAAGAAAGCATCCACCTTGCTGAAGAAACCTATTACTAAGCAGGAGTTTTTATTGCATGTTAAACCCACCAGCAAAGATAAATATGTCTCCAGGAAGACTTTGCCTGTTCAGGAGAAGACTGAAATCAAAAAGAACTCTTATAAGAAGTTCTTGACTATTTCAGAGAAAAGAACCACTAGAGAGGATGGATACCATCCTAGGAATCAATTGTTTTCAAGGAAGACCCCCATTCCCAAGGTGGCAAAAAGCAAAGAGAGGCAATTATCTTTAAAAAATAATCCCACTGCTCAGTGGAAGGAGGCTGCTTTGAAGAACCATTTGGCCCCAAAATACCACTTCACCAGTGAAGAAAGGGCCATTATTGATCAGCAGCTGGCCTTAAGGGAAAGGTCAGTCACTGAGAATGAGACCATTCTGCAAAAGACCATTCTGCAGAAGGAGCCTATGGTCTTGCATGGCAAGCACACAGTTGAAGAGGAAGCTATTTCAAAGGAGCCTTTGACTGTACAGGAGAGTCTTAGCCATGAGGTGACCCTTTGCAAGGAGTCATTAACATTTCAGGAGAGGCCTACTGTCAGTAAGGCAGTACTTTTCAAGGAGGCGTTAGTTTTTAATGAAGATCCCACTACTAGTAAAACAGTGTATATGAACAGGCCATTGACCTATGAAGAGAATCCCATCCACATGGAAGATAACACTATCAACGATTCATTGCCCCAGGCACATAATAACCCTAATATAGTTAACAGGCATCCTGAATGTGGAACAAGGAAGCCCAGAGTTGTTGCCATTTCTAATATGAACAAGTTAAGTTTTGCCAACAAGTCCTACACCTATGACGTAAGTTCCAAAGAGATTTCTCATCTCAGAACATGAAATCAAAAGAGTTATTCTTCTCTTTTCTTAAATTTGATCTCATATTATTTGTTATCTCAGAGGTGGCTGGTGACAGAGTTTTGATTTTGCTTTCCTAAGCAGTTGAACTATATATAACACACTGTAGTAAATAAAGTTAACCTTGTAGAGTCCCTTGGCTTTATTATTCATGGAGTGATATACTCAAACCTTTAGAAAATGTTTGCTACAAGAATATCCAGAAGAACATGCAATATTCTCTGAGCATAGAGTTGGGAGTTTGCAGTAGTGATTGGGTAATTTTTCAATAAACTGAATTTCTTAGTAATTTAAGGTTGCATCACAGTGAATTTTGGTTATGGAAATGGCTCATATAGACACCTTCTCATAAAGGAGAATGATCTTTAAATTGTAAATAGGAAGGATGGAGGGAGAATATTTGGCAAACAGGAGGATAAATATTTCTCTTGTAGTCAAAACAACCTGGATAAAGTTATGTAAGTAAGGAGAAAGTTTTCCAGAAGCATAATTGAGCCAGGTCAAGATACTAAAATCTAATAAGGGTCCTAAGAAGTAAAAAAGGTGGTACAAATTGAAATAGTAAATTAAAAGTGTTTTTTTTGGACAGTATTGAACAAGTTTGTCAGTGACAAACTACAAAATAGTATTTTGCTCCTGGGACAGAGCAAAGCAGCTGTAAGAAAGATTAAGCTTTTTTCAATAACTTGAGTATATAAGGATTTTAGGGCAGAGGTGGTACTCTTTATGACTCAAAATGTATAAGACTTGAAGTACAGCAGAGATTAGAGTGGGAGTAAGAGTCATACTTTATGTGTATTTGCGAAGCATTCCTTAGAATATTTGCCTACCTAATATATCTTCTTGGTATTTTTCAAACAGAGTGACAATGATCCAGTTTTCAACACTGTCTATGCCAAGGATATCTTCAGATATATGAAAGAGAGAGAGGTATGTAGGTGACTGAGGAGTGGGTCTCATAATAATTTCTAGTTCTCATTTTCTTCTTACTATATCCTTCAAAACAGGTCAAAATCAGAGGTAATGATTGTGGAAATAGCAAAAGTAGAAATTGCTATCTATTGGTAGCCTACAGTGACTTAGATATTATACTGAGAGATTAAAGGCATAATTTTAATTATCCCGATAGCTAGGAATTATTCATTATAATAAAGTTAATATTAGGAATTGTTATCCTCCAATACACCAGGAAGAATCTATAAAAAGCTAGTGTGTGATAGAGTTGCAATGTGGACTGAATATGTTTATCTTGAAGGCAGTAAATCTTTCCCTCTAATTGCTGAAGAGATGGTTCCAGACAAAATAATCAAGTAGTTTCCTTTAATGTATTCCTTTAGAGATAGTTTCCCTGCTCTGTGCAAGGTTCTGGTATCATATATAAGATTATACCCTTTGTTACAGCTTTCCAGTCTGGTGAATGTTTTTCTCCTTTCAAATATTCCTTTGCCATAATATTCATTGATTCCATAATTTGCTGTTATAACCTAGAATGGGTGAGTCTTGGAAAATCTTAGTAGGAGATGACAGTGGAAAGAAATGAATCATTGTGTATGTGGTAAGCTTCAGCATCAACAAAACATATGGGATCTAGATTATTTTCTAGCAAGAGTCTTAGCAGACCATGCAGAAGAGAAAGAATGAACATCTCCTCTCTAAAGATGCAACAATCTTAGTGTGTACTTGTCTAGTATGCTTTGGAGGATGTAAGATATTACTACTAGAAAAGTGTTGGCGTCAACTCAAAAGTGTTGGTATCACATTTGACTTTTTGTTTTGTTTTGTTTTGTTTTGGGGTCACACCCGGCGATGCTTAGGGGTTTCTCCTTGCTCTGCACTCAGGAATTACTCCTGACAGTCCTCAAGGGTCTATATGGGATGCCAGGAATCGAATCTAGGTCAGCTGCATGCAAAGCAGATGCCCTACCCGCTGTACTATTGCTCCAGCCACCACATTTGACTTTGTAAGACTGCAGAAACACTACCGCAGTCCAGATTATCTGAATGAGAATGTGAACTTTAAAGATCCCTAAGTGTTATCTATGTATGGTTAAGTTTGAGAAGAGTACTCTGTATAGCATGGTGTTGTGTTTTATATGGAATTGCTAAGAAGGGACTGAACTCTGGTATTCATCTATAGCTAGTATTGTACATTGTCCCTGTACTTCTCAGTATAAACCTTGACCCTTGAATAGCATGTGCATACATTTCTCAGGGATAATTGGAACTTCTCTCATAAAAGGGTTTTGATACCAGCTGAAAGTAATGAGTTAAAACCACAAAGAACTGTGTCGTTACACTGTTATCCTACAATACCAATTCTAAATATTTTAAGTTAAAATCGTTGAACTATAAAAAGAGTTCATTAAAATTTCTTTTTTTTAACTGCTGACAGGAAAAATTCAAAGTTAATCAATACATGCCTGGACAGGCTGACATCAGCAGTGACTTGAGGGCTATTCTTGTGGACTGGCTGGTGGAATTGCAGGTAAGCCTGACAGTTATTACCCTTAGGGGTTGCTATTCTTGATACTGATTATTCATTAAGGATTTCCATGTGTCAAACATGGTGAAATCAGTGGCATTTATGGAAGTGAATAAAACATGGTTCCTGCCTTCAAGGAGTTTATGATCTCAGGGTCAAGATAGGACTTGCAGACAAGCAAAGTTCAATACACAATAGAAATACCATATGGTTTTAGATACTCTACAATGTCTGGTGTAGTATTCTACGCAATATTAGCGTGAGAGAAATACAATAATTACTATGAAAATATTATAGTTAAAATGTTATGAGAACCCAGTGGAGGGAGGTTGTTTCTATAAAACTTATGATAGTATAGTAGCTTAACTATTTAAAAAAGTTTTTAGATATTTTATCTGGTGACTTGGATAGGTTCAGTGACAAACTCTTAAATTTTGGGTGGGACTGCTAAAAGGAGGTAGCTGGTTTTCCTTACTTGGATGTTGCTAATGTATGGCAATGAATGCTTGTCACTTTGCACTAAGAAAGTATACCCCAGAATAGTACTTGCCATTGTAATAGCATTTGCCATTAGAAGGATATAAGCAAATATTGGCTAATTGAATAGAATTGGAGTTTACAAAGAAATATAAGGTATAGTTTTAAGCCCACTTGAGTATATAATTGAGATTAAAAGGTACTATTGTTAATATCCTCTATTACATTACAGAAAAGTGATTTAGGCTTATTTTGGAATGACAGACCAGGAAATGTGGTAGATGTAATATATTTGGACATTAGCAAAACATGAAGTAATATATTGCATGAATGAAGCATAATAAAATTAAGAGTAGAATTTTGGTAGGTCTTGTTTTTGCTATTTTTTGACCTCAATGTTTGTCATTAGCAGTTTTGTATAAAGAACAAGAAATTAATACCTAAAGCTTACTGAGGATTATTAGAGTGAACACTGAAAGCACAACTTAATTATTTGGGGGCTTAAAATAGTAGAAATAAGTGTAATCAATGAAGGAGAGTCCCTTTCTCCCCACATCTGTGCCAACACCAGTTGCTTTAGTTCTTTTAGATGTGGGCCAGTCTCTGTGGTGTGAGATGATATCTCATTGTTGTTTTAATCTGCATCTCCCTGATGATTAATGATGTAGAGCATTTTCTCATGTGCCTTTTAGCCATTCTGATTTCTTCTTTGAGAAAGTTTCTGTTGATTTCATCACCCCATTTTTTGATGTGGTTGGATGTTTTTTTCTTGTGGAGTTCAACCAGTGCTTTGTATATCCTTGATATCAACCCCTTATCAGATGGGTATTGGGCGAATATCCTTTCCCATTCTGTAGTCTGTCTTTGTACTTTGATCACTGTTTCTTTTGAGGTGCAGAAGCTTCTTAGTTTAAGATAGTCCCATTTGTCTATCTCTGTTTTCACTTGCTTGGCCAGTGGCGTGGCATCTTTGAAGATACTGTTAACTTCAGTGTCGTGGAGGGTTTTGCCAACCTTGTCTTCAATGTACCTTATGGATTCCGGTCTGATGTTGAGGTCTTTAATCCATTTTGATCTTACTGGGAATGCCGACTGGTTCAGCTCATTTGGAAAACAGTATGGACGATTCTCAAAAAATTAGAAATTTGACTCCCATTTGACCCAGCAATACCACTCCTGGGAATATATCCCAGAGAGGCAAAAAAAGCATAGTAGAAATGACATCTGAACTTGTGTGTATTGCTGCACTGTTTACAATAATCCAAATCTGGAAAAAACATGAATGCCCAAGAACAGATGACTGGTTAAAGAAACTTTGGCACATCTACACAATGGAATACTATGCAGCTGTTAGAAAAGATAAAATCATGAAATTTGCATATAATTGGATCAACATGGAAAGTATCATGTTAAGTGAAATGAGTCAAGAAGAGAGGGAAGGCATAGAAAGATTGTATTTATCTCTGGAATATAAAGTTACAGAATGGGAGACTAACTCCCAGGGGTAGTAGAGATAAGGATCAGGAGGTCTGCTCCATGACTTGGTAACTGGCCTCACATGCTGGGGTAAAAGGCAGCTCAGATAAAGAAGGGAACACCAAGTAAAGGATGTTGGGGGGTTCCATTTGGGTTGAAAGTAGAGTATAGACTGAACACGATGGCCACTCAATACCTCTGTTGCAGACTGCAACACAGAAAAGGAGAGAGAACAAAAGGGAATTCCTTACCACAGAGGCAGGGTAGGATGGTGGGGATGAGGGGTGGTGGTGGGAAGGATCACTTAATCACTTAATCACTTAACTTCCCGTTAGTCGTCGATTTGCTCGAGCGGGCGCCAGTAACGTCTCCATTTGTCCCTGTCGCGTGCTAGTGTAGCCCAATGGCATCTGTTCGCTCCAGGAACATGAAGGGCCTCAAACCGATCGTTCATGATCTTGACGAAGAAGTCTGACCATCTGGTAGGTGGGCGGCCATGCGGTCTTTTGACATCCCGTGGAATCCAATCAGTAACAGCTCTAGTCCAAGGGTTGTCTTTAAATCTCATTAGGTGACCAGCCCATCTGATTTTTGACACCTTGGCAAATGAGACAGCGTCCCTGATCCTTGATCGTCGACGGATGTCAGAACTCCGGATTCGTTCTCTCATTTGAGTGAAACGTGATATTCCAAGCATAGCTCTTTCTATTCTTCTTTGGGAGACCTGAATAGCGTTCTCATCTTGTTTGCATAGGGCCCAGGTCTCTGAGGCATATGTTAATGCAGGAAGAACAGTGGAATCAAAGAGATGTGCCCGGAGCCAGAGGTTCTTCGTCCTCTTAGCTATTTCTTCGACGTTCTTGAAGGCTTCCAAGCCGCTCTCTTCCTCCTGCGCAGCTCGGGTGCCAGGTCATTTGTCATGTTGACCTCTCGACCTAGGTACACATAGCTGTTGCATTCGGAGATGGTCGTTCCATTGAGAGCGAATGGGGCGTCAGGAACAAGGCTGTTTCTCATAAACATTGTCTTCGTAAGATTCAGGTGTAGTCCTACCTTTCCACACTCACCGTCAAAGTCGGCCAGCATTTGTGCCGCTTGTCTGATGTTTGGTGTTATTAAAACAATGTCATCAGCAAAGCGGAGGTGCTGTAGTTGCCGACCATCTATCTATCGGGAAAAGTATTCGTAACGCCCGCCTGTCCTTCGCCAACTATAAGACCAAGATGACTGCCCTCCGACGTCCTGATGGATCCATCACATCCTCCAGAACGGCAATGGAGAAGATTATCCATGACTTCTACTCAAATCTCTTCGATAGCTATGTCCACTTACCGACATACCAAATTCCACAGGATGGATATGTCGTTCCCAACGTTCTCCCTTCCGAAATCCGACACGCCATTTCGTCGGTAAAGAAACAAACAGCACCCGGCCCAGACAAGGTCAGACCTGAACACCTGAAGAACCTGCCATCAGTACTCATCAATACACTGGCTCGGCTCTTCACTCGCTCCCTGTCTGAATGCAAGGTTCTGTCCCAATGGAAAACCAGCAGGACCGTACTACTGTTCAAGAAGGGAGACATCCATGACATTGGCAACTATCGCCCGATCTGCCTATTGTCTGTCATCTACAAGTTGTTCACTCGAGTCATCCTAAATAGGATTGGCAGAACACTAGATGAAGAACAACCATGCGAGCAAGCAGGGTTCCGCAAAGGATTCAGCACCATTGACCATATCCACACAATAACCAAGCTCATTGAGGTTTCTCGGGAGTTCAAGATGCCGCTCTGTTTAACGTTCATTGATTTAAAGAAGGCCTTTGATTCTGTTGAGACGGAAGCGGTCATTGAAGCCCTAGCCAATCAGGGCATTCAAGCCCAATACATCAGGATCCTCCGAGAGCTGTATTGCGGATTCACTACCAGGATCTCACCATTCTACAAAGAAGTGATCGTTGATGTCAAGAGAGGGGTGCGGCAGGGTGATACCATTTCACCGAAACTCTTCAGTGCCACCCTAGAGAACATCATGCGACGACTGGAATGGGAAGGAATGGGAGTGAAGGTGGGAAGGATATTGGGAACATTGGTGCAGGAGAATGAGCACTGGTGGAGGGATGGTAAACAATTATTGTATGACTGAAATACTTGTAAGTTTGTAACTGTACCTCATGGTGATTCACTAATAAATTTTTAAAAAATACGTGTAAGCTAAATAACATAAGTGTAAAATATATACAATGTACAATAGCAAGAGGGTTGAAAACGGAATCCTGTGGAAAATTTGTATTCCTCTATTCAAGTTGGTTGTTTTTTTAATCGAGTCACCATGAGATACAGAGTAACAAAACTGGTCATGGTCAGACTTCAGTCAGTGTTCCAAAACCTATCCCTCTACCAGTGTACATTTTCCATCACAAATGTCCCCAGTTTCCCTCCTGTTACCCTACACCATGCCCCCAGTCTGTCTCTGTGGCAGACACTTTCCTTCTCTCTCTCTCTGTCTCTCTCTCTCTCTGTGTTTGTATGTCTGTCTTATTTTGGGCATTATGGTTTGCAATACATGTACTGAGAGATCATCATGTTTGTTCCTTTACCTATTTTCAGCACGCAGATCTTATCCAGAGTGATCATTTCCAACTATCTTTATCATAGTGGTCCCTTCTCAATCCCAACCCCTAATGCCTTAGAACTTGAACTAGGCTTCCAACTGTGGATCAGTCCTCCTGGTTCTTGTTTCTACTGTCCTTGGATATTAGACTCATATTAGACTCACAAATGGGTCCAATCATTTTTTATCTATTTCTCTCTTTCTGACTCATTTCACTCAGCCTGATACTCACTTTTCATGTCCATTCATTTCTAAGCGAATTTCATAACTTTTCCTAACAGCTGCATGGTATTCCACTGTGTAGATGTGCCATAGTTTCTTTAGCCAATCATCTGTTCTAGAGCACTCAGGTTGTTTCCATATTCTGGCTATTGTGAATAGTGCTGCAATGAATGTAGATGTGCAGATAGTATTTCTGCTGTATGTTTTGAGCCC